TTGAAATCAAATAAGTAATTGGTGTTGGAGACAGTTCTGGCAACATAGCATAGCGTAGCGTAGACTCTTGTTAAATTAGTTTAGATTGTTTTGTATTTTACTTTTACCAAAAGACCATTATTTATAGTATCAGTTAACAAGTAATCTAGATTTTAAATAGTCAAAACAGAATCTATACCTCTATACTTTGACCTCAGACCCTTTTTCGAGTTAGAATGACTGGGCTAAATCAGGAAGTCACCTTGTGGAGACTGGAGATGTATTTTTGCTCGTCCGAGCTGACATTCGCTTCTTTTTAACGCGCAAAAAAGATGAAAAAGATAGCCTGAACGCTGACAGGCTTCAGATTTAATGTCGGTTTATTTCTCTCTAAAATAACATTTCAGTTTCGGGATTAAATGTGAAGTTTTACTTAAAAGTAACGTCTTTGAGAAACATTTTCAGGCGTCAAAACTGTGGAGATGCAACTTGACTTGTAAAAGATTTGGGAAGAGGAAAATTTTATGAAAAGATATACAATTTGTATCTTTAACATTCGCTCTTCCAAATAGTTTGTCCTGTTTAACGACGACAACGAGTTTTCTAATGAGACTAGGAAATTAGTTATTATTACGTTTATTTTAGAAGGAGAAATTACATTTCATTTTAATGCTTATGCTTGTTACTTAATTAACACTCGGAATATGATATTTTTTCACTCAGAATATCCATTCTAACAAAATTTTCATGAATTAATTTTAAATTCAAAAGGAATGAGTAGGCAAGGCTTTAAAAACCGGCTAAATGACCTTAACTCATTTAATTGTAATTAACAAACGTAATATAAAAACAACCATTTGTCATTTTAATTACACACACGTAATTAAGTTCTTATCTCAAGAGAGCAATGCCCAAGAGTAATAACATTTAATTTTATTTTTCGTAGTATTACTAAGATTTCTCTAGATTATGTTACGCAAGAATGATATTAATTAGTGAATTTGCTGTCAATGAACTTTTATTATTAGTTAAAATTTTAGTGTGCTGTCACTTAAACTTTAACTNGCAAGACGCAATATACCTACTAAGGCCCGATTAATTTCTGAATTTAGATTTTTAGCTTGAACGTGCTCGTCTTGTAATGAAGCATGAATTTATCATAATTCATCCTTGAGTAGGATAAGACCCTACTACTATAAATTCTTGAGATTGGACTACATAATATTGAATCAACCACAGGCTTGAATCTAGAATTAGAGCCTCTAAAAAAGGTTGTACAGACGAAAGCACATAAAACTATACAGTTTAGTTGCAAAATCGCCCGTATCACAATTCTATAAGATTCTACAGTGTTTAGGTTGATGTGCCGTCTGTAGTCTATACTTTTCGCTGCGAAGTTCAAGAGTATGTACCTACCTCCTGCTCGCTCATAGTGTAGACAGAACTCCCATGTGTGTGTTGTAGGCAATGGCTGTTGTATCTGTGTGGGTTAGAACTGACGGCCTCTGTGCCTGTGTGCGTCTGAGTATTTGCATGCCGACGTAGGCAACATGGCTGCCGGCTATCCACTGAATACTCGATCAGTATGTCACTTTGATTTTATGTAAAATGGAAACCGACAGTTTCTGCTTCGTTATGCAGGCTTAACGTAATGAGTTTGAATTTTGTTAGCCAATTTCAATTAGTAGAGTTGCAATACGTTCTGACTCTGACTGAACATCCGTTCTGGGTTGCGCATATCATTTTAAACGTACAAATAAAATGAAAGAATAAAAACCAAGTCCCGTGAAAGTAATACAACTTTAGTTCCTGATTGAAAAATTGTTAGCATTTATCATCCGCTAATCCATTGTGTTTGAATTTACAGTCCGTTTTGAATTTTTCAATTATTACGTTCCGAATACATTGAATGAAAAAAATAAGTCAATAAATCTCAATTTAAGAATGAAATTGTTCATGAAAAGGTCTGTGACCTAAATCAGTGCTACAATAACCTTGCAAAGTGAGCAATAAATAAGTACCTTCAACGGTTACCTACATGACATGAGTAGACTATCAATAACTGAATACAATGTTTTGTTGACAAATAAGACTTGTCGGTGCCAAAATGCCATTCGCCAAAGCATCCAAAGGTTGATCCTTCGTTGTTTTTTTAATTATTTTTAACGCGATGCAACACGATTTTCTTTTGTTAAACTACAATGACAGATGATTGATATGACAGCTTTCCCTCTCTCCCTGGCGACAGTTTTCTTTAGGTTATTGACACTGGCCGTTATAAAAATATTTTCTTCTGTATTTTTTTAAATATACGAACTGATTTCGAGTGGTTACAAATAATCGAAAATTTACTTTGTAAGATGGCTGAAATTCTATACAGCAAGTTTAAAATACTTTGACATTGACTTTGAAGTGTTCTAATTGGAAACAAGACACCTAAGTTAGTTTTAAAGTCACCTCTAACGTTAATCTGATAGGTACTTTTACGAAATAATCACTATTCTATTCTATTAATGAACTCGATGTCACAGCCATTATAAGCAAACCTCAGTTAAATAACCTTTGTTTGTACCCAACTGCAGCTTATTTTGTATAAATAAGTAATTATACTTTTTAAATTCAATTTGCCTATGAGTTTTAATACTTGTTTGCAATAAAGTTGTCAATACATGTCATAATGTAGAGTTATAAATTCAGCATCCTTGGCCACTAACATATTTTACATAATGTGTCGATGTGAAAATTTCGTGTATTAACATTGCTTTCACGACAGTTATTAAAATTTGTCCCTATTCTGAAGCAGCATTATCTAGAAGCTTCGATGTAAATAGTCCGTGCATCGGCGCATCGCTTGACAGTCTTGTCCCCAATACAACCAACACCAACATTAACAATTTTCGGGTCCTAGTCCGCTGAAGCTGTATTTTCTAGAAGCGTCCATGTAAATAGACGGTGCATCGGCGCGGGCGCATCACTGACAGTCATTTGTCGCTATGTACAACAGAGAGACCTCTATCTCTCCAAATAGCCTAACCTTAAATATTAATGTACTTAAGAAGAACCTTTTCTCTTCTCCTGGGCCTCTGAAGCTGCATTTTCTAGAAGCGTCCATGTAAATAGTCCGTGCATCGGCGCGGACGCATCGCTGACAGTCATTTGTCGCTATCACAGCTAGGACGTCCGCGCCGCTCCAAATAGCCTAACCTTTATTTCGACGACTTGAATTTGTTACTGTTGTAACATCGGCCGCTAGTCTATTTTCAACATTTGATGACGTCATAGTCTTAATTTATTATCACACCTATTTAAATCAAGTGGCGGTGTCGATTAACTCTCGATTGATATAATCGGAATCGATCCATTATTTTAATTTGATTCATTTGGTAAATCTAATTAACAAAGGGTACTATAAGTAAGATCGACAGAAACGTGAGATTACAATACTTGGATTGCACTGTGCGCATCAGAATACTGATTAAATTTTTAAGTAAGTGCGTCAAATGTACCTACTAGCTAGTTGTACTAACAATAAATTAAGTTATTTTTTGTCGACAAAATATACCACTACCTATTCCATTGTGTATAGGTTTATAGTCATTACACTAGGAACTCCTTAGTAAAAACACTGATTATGTCAAACGCGCAAATTGGCGGGTACTATTATAGACGTCATGCGTCATCGGCCGTTCAAGATGGCCTCCGTGTCAATGTGACAGTTGCCAAGATGGCGGGTCAGCTTACGCTGGTGCGTCTAGCGTGTTGCGTAAACGAGTGTCGTTTACCCCGCGGCCTTCGCACTCGTAATGCTTCCCGCTTGAGGAACGTTGCTAGTCGTAGGGATGTGAAAAATGCAGTGCACTCGAATTTTGAATTCGAGTTATTTGGCATTAGAACAGAAATTTTATTGAACTTTGGACTTAATTCTGTGTGTAAAAATGAGCGTTAAGAATAAAGAACTGTGGTTATGAAGGCATTGTGTGCACAACTGACTTGTGATGATGTTGAAAAATGTAAGTTTTTGTACGACTGAAACGTCACATTATGATTCAGTTCAGTAGCATTCCCTTGCGATATTTTGTAACCTATTGTGGCTTAAAATATCATTTGGACTTTGTAAGCTTGCTAAAATAGATTAAAAGGACTGATGCCAACATTCGTACTCAAATAACTGTATGAATGAATGAAATATTTATCGTCACAGTTGCTATACATTCTAAACTTCCAGTAACAAATTTTCTGCCAAATCGCAGACTAATTATAAATTATTATTTCCTTTCGTTGTCACATCCTTAACTAGTAATACCATCCGTTCCAGTTTAAACGCTTTCGGTCGAATGTTGAACTCTATTCTGATACACTTAAGGCTCATGGAAATTGTAACTAACGACATCGAGAAGCTATCGTACACTGCAATACACGCGACATGTGCCAGTAATCTGTTCTATTTTCATCCAATTTGTAAATATTTACATGGAGAAAACCTGTTAAATGTAGTTATTTGGGTATACAGTGCGAGGTCATCGCTTTTGTTAAAAGTAGGTTATTCGATTCGAGAAATCAATAAAGTTTACTTAAATTGTAGATTAAATAAAACATGGATAAATGAAGCAGTGTTAAGATTTTTACAAGTAAATCAATTTAATAAAATATATTTACTTTTCGTACTTGTACAGCCAAGTAAAAGACACAAAAAAATATTGCTTGCTTTAGTAGGTACTAATTTTACAATATTCTAGAGTCTAGAGTTAGAGCACAGATCAATTTACTCGTAATTTTTATGTTCACTTTATCTTGTTTATTACTGCAACTATGGTCAAACGACTGGGTTTTGATTTTATAGTTAATATCTGGTACGTCCTCGATATGCGTTTCAATTAAAAAGTATTTTGTACCTTTTAGTAACAAATGAGAAACTTTGGCAACATTGTTAGCAACTTAATAGCCGTTTAATTTGAGGTAGCAAATAAAAAAGTTCAAACAAAAATAAAGACTTATTTAAAAGTTAAAATCGTTTGTTACAGATTACAACGCCGCCCCGCTGTTCGCCTCGGAAAACGCCTCCAGTGGTAAGTCGAATAAATGCCTTTGAATATTAATGAATTTATAATTATTGCCGTCAATATTCGTTACTAATACCTATGTTTCATATAACTAGACAGGAGGCAAGGAACCCATGACTTATTATAGGGCTTACCGAAGCACGTTTTACGATAAAATAATAACGTACTAACTGATATTTATCTATTAGAAATTTTACTCGAGTATTATTGAAATCTTTTAAATATTTCTACGTATACGTACTCTACATATTTTTTATATGTTAGTAGTTCCTTTACCTCTTATTAATGAATCATAGTCGCTGTACCAGCTGTACGTACTTTTATGGTAGTCATTTATTTTGAAAGGTTATTGACCTATAATTTATTAAGTTAATCTGTCGTAAGTATAAAACGTGAATCATTTAGTAATCTTAACACTGAATTAACAAATTAAATGATCAAAAGGGTAGTTTAAGGCAATGGATGTCTGAAGTATAATTATAGGGAAGCCAACGATCCGTTTTAACTCAAAACTGATTTTTGTTGATAAAATCAGTAATTACAAGCCTTTTTACACTGGAAATACCAAGACTAAGTATTGTACCTTTTTGTGGATGTTTTTCGTAAGCCATAAATATCTGTGTTAATTGAAACGAACAAAGCAAGGTGATCTTTGTAGTCTGCGAAGTGCATAATTTACGCAAAGGTTCGCGAAAAACTAAGGCAGTCATTTGTTTTTGTTTACCTAAATTGTTTGTTTTACACACAGATTGTAGATTGGGAAACGAATCATCATTTAATGTAATTATCTTCGATTTACACCTTTAAGTTTATACGCATTCATAAAGTCCCCGGGCGATGACATTTTATAATACTAGTACTAGTAAGCATTCCCATAAAACTTGTTGTTCCACCAACCCTATTTAATTCAAAGGATATGCCTATAGGCTCTCATCTCCGCCTATCTCATGGGCTTCTTACTAGTAGAACCTTAGGATATGTCTTGAAACACCGGAGATAACATATCGTACGTCCAAGTGACCAAGTGTACATAACAAACCTAATTTGCAGATCTTAACTTACACTTTGGGCATCAGAAAGATATAGGTACATAAGCTTGGAAAAGATTTATTCCAGTATTTTTTTTATAGCATTGGACATTTTACACTACGCTTCTAGTTCCAAACTAAGCAAACAGATACAAGCTAACGGATATAAACATACTTAAGGTAAGTGCCCCCTACTTCGGTATATTAAGGCTCTTACGACTTTAACATTTTATTTAAAAATAACCAAGCATGATATCAGTATGAAAGCTTTTGTATGCTAAACTTTGGTCTTTTGACATTAAGTTAATACAAAATGTATAGTTATATAGTTTGAACTTTTTTTTATATTAATTGTTCTGCGGACCTCTTGTTTGGATCCTGTTTCGTGACAAAATTTTGCTCTGTTTCTAAGTTCGTGAACTCATGTCCCCTATTTCGGGATAAGGTTTTATGCATCCAGTTAGGATATTTTAATAATGATTAAGGGTTTAATAAATTTAAAAACGATAATAAAAATTTAGAATAAAATAATGATGTGAAATTGACGATATTGCTTACCTGAAATATTCATAAAAAATAATCTGTCTAATATAATATTTTGATTTGTTAATTCTAACAATATGTGAAAATATTTATATAACCATTAGAAATGTAGGGGGGGGGGAACTTAACCCCCCCATAAAATACTATAATAATAAAATACGTACCCATAAAATTTTGATTTGTTATTTCTAGCGATATGTGAAAATATTTATATAACCATATAAATNAGGGTTATCCATTGTTTTTGGGACACCCTGTATACCGAATTTAGGTCATGAGAAACTTAAATAAATGCATTATTTGTTTCATAACTTACATTTAAATTATCATAAATAATTATTTTAAAACCAAGCATCAAAATGTTATCTATAATATCCTTGAATCGGTAGTATCACGAAATAGGGGACACCCGAAAAATAATATGTACGCTATTTCGTGAGTCAATTAATCGCAATTTTAAAGGAATTCTACGTTTTCATACAACTTTTTTCTAAGCCAAATCAATTGTCAAGGAACACATGAAACCTCTATTACAAGTTTTATTTAAATGGACGTTCCTTCGCCTTTTTATAAACTTAAGAAGTTGGAGCGCTAACCTTACGGTGAGAGCAACCTTTGCACGCCGCACGGCTGTTTTTGGCTCTCTGAGAGTTTGAAGCTTCGTATTGCTCTCATTTTTGGCGCCACAATGTTGGTACTTGGTTTTTTAGATAGCTTAAATAGTAGAGTTTTTGTAGTAATGAAGAATTTTTATAAATAATATTCCATTTGCTTATTATTTAAGCTAGAAAAAAAACTTACGAACTTACGTACTATCACGAACTAGTAGCCGTTTACCTTAAATACTTTTTTTTGTAAATACATACATAGAAAACACCCAGTCCAAGACAAATATGTTCATGCACGCAAATGTTTGTACTGTGCGGGAATCGAACCCGCTACCTCCGGAATAGTAGTCCGTTTCGAACCACTACACCAAACGGCCGACGAAACTATGTGAAAATATGTTTCGAAACACCCTTAGACATCACGTATACGTCATACGTCCAAGTGTGAAACAGAACCTATTTGCAGATCTTAAGATCTTTCAAAAGAGATACATAAGCTTGTTAAAGATTTATTGCAGTAAATGGTCCATAATTTACGTTTTATCCCTTCTGAGTTGACGTAAAAAGATCTTAACTGTCAATAGTTTAAGTAAACAAACATCTTTTGTTGTGAGGCGCAAATGTAAAACGCTTCAGTGAATTTCGCGTAGGCCTTTTAGCTCCTGGCTGATCGCCAGAATAGACGAGAAAATGTTAGATAATATCACATTTATTCATATTAAAATCTAGTTCATGTAAACAATTCCGTTCCCATTCCTGACACTGCAGACATAGTCTGATTGAAATGTAATTTATTTCACTTTTAGCACGAAATAAATTCTATTTGACACGACAATTTTAAAGGTTAACACATTACGTACCTATTTCATAATGATCATTCAAAATGGAAAAATTGTATGTCAACAGCTGAAGGTTTCATTTTCAGTTATTTTACAGTTATTCAGGATTTCAACATAATTAAGTTTATCAAAGTGTGTCATCATCAAATCAACGATCACAACAATCATTTTGAATGATTTGGAAGGTTGAACCTTTTATCCCGGGGCAAATTACATCGAAACATAACAATGTTGTTTACGAGACGACCTCAGATCACCCTACAGACTACCTTCGCAATACCGATGACGTAAACCGCCATATTGGGCCATGTTGTTGGCACACCACCATAAACAGCGGCTTCTTTGATACGCTTGCAATAAATACACCCTACAAGGTCCCCGATTAAATTTATAGGAACACGACCGACCGATCTACAGAATCGTGAATTACCCCAAGCTATAGTATTTTATTACGTCGGCCATACCACGCCCAACATCTGCAATACGTATAACAAGTTCAAATGCACCTTTTGACAGGAGATACCGGAGAAAATAATGCCTTATGCTAAATAAATGCAAGCTGTTATAAGGGCTGTCAGAGCCTAGTAACAATAGATCTCCTTATATGTGCCTGCTGTAACAGACGTAGACACATACTTTCCTTAATCGTTATTAAGTTATCAATCATAGAGATGTACAGTCACGGAATGAAAAGGTTCGTCAGTTTTCAAATTGATTCCTTCAACGAATCGCGAACACATATTACCTTTTGAAACTATGTTACAGAATAATCTCGAGTTAGAGAAAATAATCTTTAACTGTTCGTCAGTAAAGTTCAAAATTATTTATCAAAGTTGTTTGACGATTTATCTTGTCAAGAAGATTATTATGATTGATAAACTAAAACCTTCTTGTTGGTTCAACCTGCCATTATTATTTCTATTAAATAAAAAAAACTATTGTCAATTGGTCAATGTCATCATTGCATTGCACTGATGGGATAGAAAAATAAACAAGCAAAACCTTATTCGTTAGCAAACGTCATATTTATTTAAATGTTAGCAGCACTGTTTCTTGCACTGTTATGTTGGCAGGTTTGACTCTTACAGTACCTAGTGCAAGCGAAAACCGACACTAAGGTGACGAACCTTTTCATTCTGCGACTGTACAATCGTAAGTGGATATCAATGTCAAGACTCAAGATAAGTATTAGGAAAGTTTTCTAGTATGTTACGGTCCATTATAATGAAATTACGTTCTATACATGATGTACCTATATTTACTCATGCAATAGATTTTCATTCTATGATTGCTTTGGTTGATGATACATTCAGATCTATTCCAGAATGTATTCAAGTTTAGATTCAAATTTGGGTTTTGTCTCTCTTTAGAGAAGGGGCTCACGCAATACCTAGAAAAGAAAGATAGAATCACGTGTTTAATGCGTAAACGAAGCAAAAGAAGATAAACAATTTTTAATCTTGACACTCCTAGAAATAACGCTTTGTATCCAAAGATTGCATTTTTACCCGACTGCGCCAGAAGAATGGTTATGTTTTTAGCTGAAATGTAGAATGCTTTTAAGGCAACGCCCGAGGCATTCTGTAATTGCCTGCAAGCTGTGAAATGAGCAATAAGGACAGATGTATTACTTAAGTCGAATTGGTAATAATTCATCAAACTGTCTAAAACGTTAAAACAGAGAGCCTTGGGAAAATATTGCTTTGCGAATGTTGTAGGTACTGCCATGTATGAATTATGTTTTTATTAAAAAATACTGTATATTTTGGCTGTCATCAGCCATGCTTATAATGCTTAAAATTGTTTATTAAATTAATGAATAATTGACTACCATTCTGATTTGTAGAGTAGCCCTAATAAGTAGGTAGGTAAACTTCTTTTCCGGCTTCAAAAAAAATCATCAAACACAAAAACTACAATATGTAAACTAACCTGTCTCAGTAGCTGTCCATAATATTTACACAGTAAATAAATACAGCGAATCATAA